TGCTTTATAAGCCGGCAGGCAGAGGTACAGTGTGAAGAGCTCTTGATTTAGAAGCTAATTAGAGTTGTTATATCACTGTTATGTTCTGAAACAGGCAGGGAGGATCAGTGGTTTCTGCAGCAGTGTGGATGGGGACGTGGCTGCTCCAGGGAAGCGCATCCTGAGCATAGGAAGCAAACAAATCCATTAGGAGGATTTTAGTGTACCTGCCTTTAGTGCAGCTGTGGCTGAAGCCACACAAAGTAGAAAGGAGAAGGCAGAAGGGCAGGGAAGATGGAAAACAAAGCCCCATCTGGAAGTCCTCTTACAGCCTGACCGGTGTTCCTATTGGGTATTGCTGACCACCCATCAAAGGCTAATGAGTAACAGCACTGAGGTCAGAGCCAAGGCACACTTACCCACAGTGTTTGCTTTGGTCTCACCTGCTGTTTGAGGTTCACATTTCTGATAATGGACACCTTCTCAATTGCTTAATTTCGGCGTGCTCTGCTGAAGCACTGCTTTGTTCCTCTGAGATGCCACATCATGTTTCCCTTTGAAGGCGGTGCATGAATGCTCATTGCTTTCTTTCAGCTGGAATTATGGGTAGTTTGCAGTGAAAATAATTTGCACACAGAAGCCTAAAAGCTCTTTGTGAGACACTGACTTCTTGCTTTTACTTAAAGGAACTTGACCTACACAGAGGGTCAGCAGTTCTGGAAGCCAGGCCTTACTGATAATCCCAGTGTTCTCCAGCAATCCTGCCTTACTTACTTATTTTTTTTCCTGCTGTAGAGCAAAAAAGCAGATCAGAAACTCCAAATCAAATTGACCAAGGACCAAAAGTGCACAAAGAAACAGGAACCTGCAAGGAATCAGAAAACAGAGCGGCAGCTTCTTGGAGAGCTCTATGCTGACAAGGCCTACCTAGAAAAGCTGCTCAAGGATGAAGGTTTTCTCCATTGTTTTCAGTTAAATGTTCCTTCTAAGCAGGATCTTCTTTCCTTCTTTTATATTCTTATTACTACTCGTGTTTGTCTCAGAGTTCACAAAGCTCATAGTGCTGGCAGTGTTGGAGAGAGGCAGATGTCTGCAGAGTTCAGGTGTCTTTGGAGCCAAATCCAATATTCAGAGCTATCTCTGAATGTTTCCTCCTTTCAATCACAGCAATCTGTGTTGAGGAAATCAGAAACAGCATCATTACAAATCACTTAATTTCTGGCATGATGTTCAATTCCACTAACATCTGCATTAAGTGCAAAGCATTGCTGATGACACTTCCTCACTTGTGGCTTTTTTAGCGTGCTGTTGAGAACAAGATACAGGATTCACAAAGTACCTTATTTTAGAAATAGGCAGAAAGGAGATTTCTTTTTTTTTTCTCCTTCTAGGAAATCTTTTTTCTTTCTCCTTCTAGGAAACCGTTTACTCAGTAACAGAGCAGTAATTAAGAATTTAGTCTCATCATAAGTCTTATGGTATTGCCAGCATTAATATAATAATATATGAGCCATCTAGTTTCCAGGCATGTAATATTCCTCTCCATCTCCCCAACGTTTTAAGTGCCATCTGAGTGCAGGTGTTCCATCTAAGTGCTCTGCCCAGGACAGGTGTGTGTGCACCACAACCAGCCCCAAACACAGCAGTTTTTGCTCCCAAGGAGAATTTCTGTAACTTCTCTCCCGATCAAACCCGCTCTGAGCAGCATTGAAGACCTGAACTCCCAGTTCTCTTTCTGTCAGAACAGGACATTCATAAGCAGCCCAGTGAAGTGAAGCTTCATCCATTGTATACATTGATGCTCTCCTATTCTGCCCTCCTATTTTCAGATTTGATGAAAAGCGTCACAAAGCAGGGGGTCAAAGTGGAGGACGTGGTTCTGGGGGGCATTGCCTACCTGGACACACGCGCTGAGTTCTGGCAGCAGCAGAAGCCCATCTATGCCCGTGTGAGGGAGCGCAGGCTCAGGCAGCAGAAGTGGATCCGAGAGAAGAAACCCAAACCAGCCGAGGTGGCCAGATACATTGTGAAGAGTATGGAGGACATCGATATGTGTACGTGTCCTGGCTGCAAACAGTAAGAAAGCAATGACTGCTGCTTGTGATTTTTGCTGTAGCAAATACAGACCAGAACTACAGTAGCAACACGAGTGTTATCACATAGCAGCAGGTAGTTCTTGTGGGTTGAATGAAGGATAGTAGGATATGCCTGTGGAGTGAGGAGCTCAAACCCTTCCCAGGCTTTCTCTGAGGCTTACATAACTGCTGGCCTTACCTCCCCTATCACTGTGTTTGCACACCAGCACTGAACGTTCCTCTTTGTCCTTAGTGCTGACTGGAGACTCCCCCGAAGAGAGCTGCAGGAAAGCAGAGCGTGTGCTGAAAACAATACAAGGATGGTCAGAGAATGAAGTTCCCAACAAGAAGGAGCTGATTGGGAACCTCTACAGCTGCATTGGGAATGCTCAGTTTGAGATGGGGCGGATGGAGGCAGCCCTGAAAAGCCACAAAATGGATTTGGAGTTTGCCAGGCAGAAGTAAGTGCTGAGAAATTCTGATGGAGGAGGAAAAGATGCAGAGGAAAGTTCCTCTGTGTTTTAGCATCTGGTAGCATTGTAATTCTCGTCTGAAGATTTAACAGGGCAATGCATTCAGGCTCTGCCCACACACAAGGGTCTTCACTATTTCAAAAACAAATGACTTAAGCAGATTTTTAAAGGCTCCAGCACACGTGGCATGTCAAAATGTGTGCTGAAGCAAAGCAAGAGAGAGCACAAATCTGAGCCCAGACTCAGCACTGCAGCCCCATTGTGCACTTCCTTCTCGGGAAGGTCAGACCCGGAGCAGCAGCGGGCAGCAATGAGACGCGTTGTGCTGGTTTTCAAACCCATGGAAGGCTTCCCTTATAGGACGGGACCGCAGCCATTGCCGAGCAGCATTCGCCCTCTGGTGGCTGTTAATGACCGGCGTAGCAAACAGCACCGCGCTGCTGCTCTCCTCTCATCAGCTTTTTCATTTGTAAGACACAGATAATCACGGCAGACCACTTCCAAAGCTGGGAATGAGGACATTTACTTTGGTTTTATGACTTCCAGTCTGGCGCTGGTCCTTTACTTCTCAACCCTTTATGTGATGCTAAGCACTACAGGATACACACAGGGTTGAAGATCAGGCTGCCAGCAATAAAGGCTGCTTCAACCACTGCAATTTTTCCCTTTCTGCACAGCAATCTCCCCGATGTCGTGTCCAGAGCCCTCGACAACATTGGCAGAGTTTATGCCAGGACTGGCAAATTCCAGCAAGCCATCGACACGTACGTAAATAACAGGAAGGTGTAAGTTGGGGTTTCAATTAAATACTGTCTTCTCAGTTTGTTCTGCTAGCAAGATAGCTGTGAATATCTTCATACCAACAACTGGAACTCTTTGTTTATAGATTTAGTGACTGAAATGATAGCTGCACATGGGTGAGATCCAGTAAAATCTGTCTTTCTTACTCTCTGAAGCTGGGAGGAGAAAATTCCATTGGCAAAATCCAGCCTGGAGAAGACGTGGCTGTTCCACGAGGTTGGCCGCTGTTACCTTGAGCTCGGGAAGGCAGAAGAAGCTCAGAACTATGGAGAGAAATCCCTGCAGTCAGCGCTGGAGGAGGGGGATGCGGAGTGGCAGCTCCATGCCAGTGTGCTGCTGGCACAGGCACAAGGTATGGATGTCACCGTGTGGAAGCTGCCAGTCTGTTTGGCACCTGAATGAAAACTCCCAGAGCCGTTCAGGTTAAGGCCTTTCACAGGAGACTTGCTTGGTTAACAGCTGTTCTCTTTATCTCGGGTTACAGTCGATGTTTTCATTTGTTTGTTACAGAAAAATTGAAGGATTACCGGTCTGCAATTATGAACTTTGAAAAAGCCCTTGAGAAGGCAAAGCTTGTCCACAGCGACGCTGCTCAGAAGGCCATCATTGCTGTAAGTGGCTCGCTGTGAGGTGGGGCAGAGCTGTAAGGAGGCTGTCCTGCTGTGTGACATCCTGCAAACGGGCACAGATGAGCACAGACTTACTTGGGGTGTTCAAAGCTGAAGCAGCGCCTGTTCTGCTGTGGGAAACAGCAGTGAGAGATGAAACCTTCAGGGAAGGAGACATTTGGTACAGATGCTGATAGCTGGAATTGGTGCAGAGTGTGAAGGCAGGGAAGGAGCAAGCAGTGATAGCAGAGCTCAAAGGAAAATGGGAGCAGTCTGCACGCTGTGTGTGCTGGGCCTTTACTGAGAAGCCACATCACTTTTCAGGCTTTGGATGACGTGAGCAGAAGCTTCATCGAAGACCTGAAAGAAAAAGAAAGAGAAAGAGAAAGAGAAAGAGAAAAGGAAGCTCACACTCTCAAAGGTAATTGTGTAGAATTCTGCACCGCATAACGTGAGAATTCCCCGCTGTCCTTTCCGGGGATGGGAACGGAGCTGTGCGGGAGGTGGCAGCACCGCCCCGCGCTCACAGTGGGCTCCGAACACACAGAGCGTAACTGAGAGACGGAAAGCAGCGGTGATGGGGGGAAAAGCCTTTCTCTCCTCGTGCCCCACTGGTTGCTCAGTGCTCGAACTTACTCTAAGATTTCATTCCTCCCCCCAGCTCACGATTTCAGCGAAGAAAATGCAGAAGACGACAAGTCTGAGGGACAGGAAAGCGAGCAAAGCTCGGAGAGCCAAAGGGGTGAAAAAGAAGATGCTGAGGGCGAAAAGGAACAAGGAAACGAGAGAGAAGAGCTCGCTGAACAAGATGAAAAAGAGAAGGAGAGTGAAGAGGAGAGGAGCAAACAAGAGGAGGAGGAGAGCGAAAGAAAGGAAGAGGGGAGTGAAAGAGAGGAAGAAGAAATAGGAGACGACGAAAAAAAGCAGTTTGATTTCCTGAGCGGTTAGAATAAAGCCGGGCAGCGGCTCTGCTCTCTCACAGGAGCCGCAGCTCCGCCGCAACCCGGGGCACAAGGAGCGAACCCCGCGCCGGGCACCCACCGGCACCGCCCGCCCCGGGCAGGCGCGGCCACGGGCGGTCCCGGGCGAGGGGGGCGAGGGGGGGCGACGCTATGAAAGGGGCCGCGGTGCCGCCCGCCCCAGAGCCGCACTCCCGCTCCGCACCGGCGGCCGCCCCGGAGCCGCTGCCCTCACCATGGTAAGTGCGGGACGGGGCGCGGGGCGGCGGGGGGGCTCAGAGCCGCGCTGCCCCTTCGCTGCCCGCTCCCCTCTCGGGGCTCCGTCGGAGGCTGCGGGGAACGGAGCGGCCGCGGGGACAGCGGGGCTTTGTGAACGGAGCGCCGCTCAATCGCGGATTGTTCGCCCGCGGAGCCCCGCGCCGCTCTGTGCCGCCTTTGTCCCGGCGCGGCTTCGCGGCATAAAGGAGCGCTTTATCCCGGCGTTGGCTGCCTAACAATGGGGCCCGGGGGTGTTTTCTATTATTGTTCTTTTGTTTGCGCGTTTGAAAAGCGGCTCAGTGCCGCCCGCCCGCAGCTGCCGCCCGCAGAACAGCGGCCCCGGGCACCGCCGAGCCCCGCACCCACGGCCCGAGCGGGACGGGGCGGTGCGGGAGCGGCTGACCCGGAGAGGAGTCGCAGCTCCGCTTCTCGAGGGGCGATGGGAGCCCAACCCCACCGGGGGCGGCGGGCGGGGGCCGGGGCGTCGCGCCGTCCTTTCTGAACGGAGCCGCTTCTGAGCCGCGTTTTGCCGACGGCTCCGCGCACCCCGCACAGCGGCCGCCCCGGGGCAGGCGGTGCTCCGCGCACGGTGGGGAACCGCTCCGCACCTCCCGACCCCAAAGCAAAGGATGGAGGAGTTACTTCTAAGCGCCGCACGCGGCCGCTTTCACTTTCGTGTTCGGCGGCGGCAGCGCGGCCGCTTTTGCCGGAAGCGATTTGTGCCGCTCCGCGTTGGGAGGCACCCGGAGGGGTCCGGAGGGCGCGGCGCGATCCGTCCGAACCCGAACCCGGAGCGGCCGCTCCCGGAGTCCCGGAGCCCCGAGCGGCGCGGGTTCCGCTGCGACAGCCGCCGTCAGCGAGTCTCGATTCGCCTCTGCAGGCGGAGCTGCGTTGTTTCGCACCGCGGGCTCAGTGCGGCTCCTGGGGCCGCGGCCGCTCCGTGCTGTGGCGGTGACGTTTCCCGTTCCCTCCGTGCCGGGCGGGGGGGCGGCGGGAGGCGGTGCGGGGCGCGTTGGGGCCGCTGCGATCCGGGTTCCCCCCGTCCATCCCACCCCGAGGGCACAGCGGCGGCTTCCAGAGCCTACAAAGCGGCGTTTTCTTCTCGAATTTCAGAACAGAGGTTTCTCCAAGAAGAGTCACCCGTTCCTGCCGAAAATATTTCGAAAGATGTCCGCTCAGTCGGCCAAAGAAAGGCCCGAGAGTCTGCGGTTCCCTTTCCTCGATGACGAAGATACCATCGCCACGCTCAAAGAGTCCAAAACCTTCTTCATCCTGCGGGGTCTCCCCGGCAGTGGGAAATCCACGCTGGCCCAGGCGATCCAGGATCGCTACAAAGACGGCTGCAAAGTCATCGCCGCTGAGAGCTACAAAATCACACCTGCCATAAGAAGCGGCATTCCTGAAGAATATGCCAAAGTCGATGAGGAATTAGTTGACTATTGCAAACGAGACATCAGCGTTATCGTTTTGGATGACACTCACCATGAAAGGGAACGACTGGACCAAATCTTTGACATTGCTGACAAATACCGCTACAAAGTCATCTTTGCGGAGCCCAAAACCCAATGGAGGATGGATTGCTCGCAGCTTAAGGATAAGAATCAGTGGAAACTGACGGTGGAAGACCTGAAGAAGATGAAGCCCAGTTTGGAGAAGGAGTTCCTCCCCATGTATTTCGGGTGGTTTTTGAGCAAAAGAAGCTCTGAGATCCTGAGGAAGGCCGGCCAGGTGTTCTTAGATGAGCTGGGAAGCCTCAAAGCCTTCAAAAAGGAGAGCAAATACTGTATGTATAGAAATGACTTACCTGCTTCTTACCTCTAATGCAACCTTAACGTGCAGCAAACTGAACAAATTTGGTCAGCTTATAAAGTGATATTTTTAGTGAAGGTTGGCAACAAGAACTGTTCAGAGATCCCCAGCTGTTTTTTGAAGTTGTTTTTGTAACTGAAAACGAATGAAAGTTTCCGTTCAGCTGTGAGGCTGCTGGGGGGGGAGGGGGGTGGCAGTGGTGCTACCCGATGGTTTGTGAGGATCAGATGCAGCCTCACCTCACCTCACCCCTTGTGGGATTTCTGCTCTGCCACCCTGAAGGTGTTTCAGCTGCATCCACGTCCCGGTGGAAGGAGGGTTTTGTATCCACCTCTTCCTTTCTAGCTGTAAGGAGATGAAGCACAGAGGACAGATAGGTGAAGAAAGCTGAGATGGGACTTAGGCTCATTTGCTTTTTAAGGGATCCTTTTGTCATAATAACGTTCTTCTATATTTGCAGTCACTTCTGAAGATCCCAAAATAAAAATAGATCTCACCAGCTACTTTGTGAAGAGGCCGCCCGGGGTCTTGCACTGCACCACCAAATACACCGACTTTGGGAAGGCGGCGGGGGCTGAGGATTACGCACAGCAGGAGGTGAGTGCTGAGCTCCGCTTCCCCTCCTCCCATCCGAGGTCCTTTCCTGGCCGGGGCTCTGCGTGTGGTGGGAGGGGGGAAATTTGCTCACAGCTGAGAGGGAAACTGCAGGGCTGTGTGCGCCCACAGCCCACCTAATAGGAAAGCGATCGATATGGGAGAGCCCACACCTCCTCCTGTCCCTTCCAGAAGCACTTCCCTCCACTGTCATCTCCCATAGCGAGGTTTGAATGACAGTAAATCACAGTTAAATCACTTCCAAACAGCCCAGGTAAATTTGGGGCCAGTGAAGGGCGGCCCTCGCCGTGCAGCTCTGTGTTGTGTTTCAAACACAGCAAAGTGAGACCTGCAGCAGCCGGGACCCAACGAAGCCGGCCGCGGTGCTCCAACCCCCCCAGCTCCGCTCTGATTCTCCCCCTCTCTCCCCAGGCTGTGAGGGCTTCCTACGGCAAAGGCTTCACTTTGTCCATTTCTGGTCTGTTTGTCACAACCAAAACTGTCGGTGCTCGCGTGGAGCTGAGCGAACAGCAGCTGCTGCTGTGGCCCGGGGATGCAGATAAGATCCAGGCAACCGACAGCCTCCCGAAGGGCAGCCGCGCTCACATCACCCTCGGCTGCGCCAGCGGCATCGAAGCCGTGCAAACCGGGCTGGATCTGCTGGAGTTTGTGAAACTGGAAAGGGCGGGGAACAAAGGGGAAGAAGTGGGGGAAATTGGGGGAGGGAAACTGCAGTATTTTGGTAATGGGATGTGGATGCTCGTCCTGTCTAAAAAAATCAACGTGAGGGCGATTTTCTCGGGTTACTACGGAAAGGGAAAACTGGTGCCTACGCAGAGCACCAACAAACGGGGCTCTGCCTTCAGCTCCTGCACCATCATCTAAGAGCACGGGCAGGCATCGCCCCCGCTGGTTTTTAAAAGGAAAGTAACTCGGTAACCTTTAAAACTGTAAAGAGAAATAATTCTGCCTTTACTAAGCAAGCCCTTCTGCCAGCCTCAGACCGAAACATCTCTGGGGAGGCATTTATTGGCCTCGGTTAGAAAACAAGCAGCTCCAGGAGAGCTGTCAGATAACCCTCAGTAACCAAAGTGCTGCTGAGTATTTCTAGTGGGAGAGTTTGGGGAGAACCAGCTCTCGTGGGGCCCTGCTTGTTTTCTTCCTCAGAGGAGGATCTCCTGTCGTCTTTTATAACTTCCCTATGAGCCACAATCGTTAGATCTGTACACGTCGGTACTTCCCAATTGAGCAGTGGCAGAACAGAGCCTGTACAGAACTGCTCTGAGGCCCAGTGAGCTGCATAACGCCTCCCCCTGCTCCCAGACAGACAAACAGCAGGAGTGCTGCATTCCAGGTGAAAACCAGCCCCACTTCTGTCCAGTGGAGCAGTCCCTGGCAGCTCAGTCCATAAGGGATCGTGCAGCAGCCCCCGGAGCCACGTGTGTCCCACCCCATTGTGCTGTTGGTGTGCAGAGCCTTCAGTGCAGGGAAGGGCTGTGCTGATGGGCACACAGAGGCGCAGTGCCAGGCAGTGTCTGTGAGCCAAATACTGCAGACACGGGGAGAAAATCACAGCAAAGGAAACAGCTTTGAGGAGCTGCATTCGGTTCCTGTCACAGCTCCGGTTGCTCAGGATGGGCTGAATCCAATTCTGCCAGCACCACCGTCCTGTAGGGAGCAATCCTGCCTTGGCGGGGAATGGAAGAGATGAACTAATGTCTTTTCCATCTTATTTTGTAGAAATTAAATCATGTCTGAAGTATAGAACCATACTTCAAGCAAGATTTTACTAGCTTTAGCTAATGCACTGAACGTAGGATGGAAGTAACACTGTAATTTAGGAAGTAAAGGGAGGTATTGTAACTGTGTAACTCAAGTCTGCTCCTACCCCAGTCGTGGGCTGGAAAGAAGTTAATGACCGAGCACTGCTGTTATTAAGTCTGTTTTATTAAAGCTGATGTTTTTGCTCTTAGATCATTTGCCAGTCAGCAGATCCGTGGTCACTACTTCATAACACAAATCTCCACTAACAGATTCAGGTCAGGACAGCAGCCCAAACTCCTGCAATGGCTCTGCGCCTGGTGAGCTGCATTGTGCTTAACCCACTATTAATAAATGTAAATACTCACTGTGTTCCACACGTGTGTGTTGGGTTCGTGTCTGTAAAGGGCTCAGCGGAGCTCAGTGCTGGGAGAAGCATTTCTGCTCCGAGGGCTCAGATCAGCAGCAAGGAGCGCTTTGGGGGAGCGTGGGCAGCGCTGTGCGAGTTCAGCAGTGAGGGAAAGCAGTGCCTGCTTTGGGAGTGGTTTTAAGGATGACAATAAACTCCCATTCTAACACCACCAAAAAAATCCACATCTACACCCCGAGTTCCATCCATCCTTCACTTCCCACAACAGCTGCTGCACCAGGAGAGCTGTGAGTGCCTGCAATGCAGCTCAGCCCTCCTAATGCACATCTTCTGTGGTCCCATCCAAACTCACAGCACACAGCCAGGAGTGCTCCTGGGAGCACACAGAGCACGGAGCTGCTCTGCTCCCCCCGCTCCCAGCCCGCAGAGCCGCGCTAAGAACAACAGCAACGCCGTCCTCATCGACCTTTTTATTAGTTTGTACATCATATACAGTTTATAATAAAGTAAACCAATTGCATACGGTTTTTGCTTCAGTCTGTGATATTCTCCATATAAACACAGCATTATGAATTATGCCTAATGAAGTAAACAACAAATATTCACATTGTTACCGTTCACATCCTAGAAAGGTAAAGGTCCAAAGAGGGACAGCGCTGGCACCGCTGTGAAGCCGCCCTGGAGAGACGTTTGGCAAAGCGGTGGGGGTTTGGTTGCTCCATGCAGGACTCCTTTCCTCCCTCAGGAAAGGTTTTACACTGAGGTAAACATTCAGAATTGGGATTCAGATAAATAGGGCGGCCCTCTCCAAGTCGGCTTCACATCAGTCTCTGCTTTTGTCTCGACTGCTCCGAACCGCCTTACAACAAAGCACTTCTGCATGCTATGAAGGTGCTCGGGCTGCTGTACCCCCAGCGTCGCTTCCCATGGTTTTCTCCTTTGAAGCAGGAATTTGTACGTGAAAGCGGGGAGTGAGCAGAGTAACCCAGACAAGGTTGGCTGTGCCAGAGCTGCAGCTGAATCACAAACCTGGGCGGAGGCAGCGCCCGCAGCCCCCAAAGCGCAGCACTGCCCCCCCGCTGTGCCAGCTCTCCATAATGCAGCTTTGCACTCTGTGCCTCTCGGTGCCCTCACAGCTCCCACAGAGCTCTCTCTCCATCAGTTCAGCCCAGCAGAGGCACAAACTGCCCAGCACTGCTCCAGGAGATCCACATCCCCATCCCCAGCTGCAGGAGGGGCAGCGGAGCGCATCGTGTCTGTGCTGACACAGAAACGCTCCTGGGAAGCAGCTTCCATAGGGAATGCTCTGGGTTACAGCTCTGGGAGCAGGGAGGTCCCTCACACGGCTGGGCACAGCACTGCTGCCATGGAACACACAGACCTCAGCACTACTGGAGGAACTCAAGTAGGGGCCATCCACAGCCGTCCTTTTCCCTACGGGAAGGGGAGGGTACAAGGCACACGTTTAAAGCCCATCCACTTGAAGACAAGTGAACATCTTCAGCTATTAAACCGAGGAAGTGAATTGGAAGGACTGGCAAAGCCCTGCACAGACCAAACACTTTTGGCCATTCCAGAGCTTGCACAGCACCCAGTGAGCGCAGCCCCCAACGTGAGGCCAGGGCTCTACTGCTGGCAATGAGCAGAGCATGGCCACTGCTGCTCTGTATCCCGGATACAGAAAAGCTCCGGGGGACTCGCAATATTGCACAGCTATTTCACACTGCTGTCCCCAAACTGTTTCCACCCACCCAGTTTGCAATAACGCAAGTATTTACAAAACAGTCAGAAGCCATCAGCACATGAGATCCAGCTTTACAGCAACACTTCCAAGTACACAAACAAAACCATGTACTTTCCTAGGTAGCATGGATAGCAGACAATTGGAAAAGCCTGTCAAAAGGGGCAGCCAGAAGCAGCGGGACGGTTTTTCTAAAGCCAACTTCAGGTCCAGGGTCAGCATCCCGAAGGGACGCGCAGTGCTGAAACTGCATCAGATACGGAAAGCAAATCACACAAAGAAAAAAAATAAATAATCACAGCAGACCTGATGGCCTAGAGGTCAGCTCAGTGCACATGCAAGCAACTCCCAAACACCAACACAAAGATCTGGAGATCACTCCGTGGCACCACACCTGCAGCACTCCGACACGGGGTGATGGTGAACCCCAGGGGGCTGCAGGAGGGACAGAGCCCTTCTTCAGCTCCATCCACACAGCAGCACTCCTCAGAGAGGTGTTGGCACCCACCACAGGAATATTTAACTATTTTAAATCATGCATTCATGTACAGTTTCATAAACATCTGCTGCATACATTCCTTCTCTCAGAGAGAAAGCCGTTCCATTTCTGCGCTCTGAGGAACGGCCTCATCCCCAGCTGCGAGAGGAGGACACAGCAGGGAGGCAGAAATACCAACAACCACAACAATGCAGTGATGAATGCAGCGCACATCTCTGCGTGGTGACAGAGGGCCAAGAGAGGTCCGAGCTGTACAGTAATTACTGACACACAGGACAACGCATCACGAAGCCGGAACGCCACACTGAAATAAGTCCTGCAAGCTGTGACTGAGCAGAGCCACGGAGCTGGGAGGTCTCAGTGTGCACAGGCAGCGTTTGGGTTCCCCAGGCATCCATCTGAAAATCTCCAGGACCTCATTTTGCTCTCAGTGCAATCCGGGTCAATCCATCACATCACACCGACAAAGGAAATTCAATAAACGCTGCGGTCTGTTTTTAGGAATATTACTTCACATTGGCTCATTTTAAAAGCTGACTTCGGAGCGGTTATAAAACACTGCCTTTATTCTGCAGTAGTCAAATTTAAGCCCTTAAATCTTCCCTCTATGAGAGCAGATTGTCAAAAGTTCTGACCAAACCCAACGCACGGCGCTCAGCAGCAGCACCAGCTGCTGAAGTTCAGGCGCAGCCCGGCAGCCCTGCAGCTCAGGACATGCACAGCCTCAGCAGGAAGGAAGACAAAAGATGTCAGCATCTGAAGGATGTTCTGTGCAATTAACTGATTGCAATTTTTGCTCCTGCAGTAAAAGTCGAGGCAGATATTATACAAAAGTGTCAGGTTTCCCTAGGAAAAGAGCTTGCATGGCATGAACATCTGTTTTCCCACCCACACAAACCTCAGCTCTGCACTGCACAGCACCAGCTCACAGACTGCACACAGCACTGCTGAGCCCACTGCAAAGCACAGCACTGCCCTGCGGCTCCACGAGGCCCCCAGCAAAGCACCTGCTGGAAAAGATCCTCTGCTTTCCAGGAAAAGGGGAAGGACTGTGGAAGCAGAGCCCTTCCCCAGCAGATCTCACTGCAGCTATGCTGAACAACAGAGCAGCACCACGGAAACAAAACCACGTTCAACTCGAGCTGCTGCAGCTGCACGCAGCTCCAGGCTGCCAGCTCTGCACTGCAGCGCCCATCTGAGACCTCTGCACACACTGTGCAAGAGAAGCAAGGGACAGACTGCCAGCTCAGGGTGGGACTTTGCATTTTCTTGCTTCTTTGGACTATTTACGTTACTATTTGAGAGCCACTCGACTGCTTTATCGTATGGGTGAGTCCTTGTAAACACGATGAGATCACACCGCTGCACACGCACAGGAACCACTTCAGTAATAACCTGAATATTACTTTGCATTTCTTCAAGGCTAAGAAGAGTTCATCCACACTACGGATCAGTAACACAAAGTCTAACATGACGATTTCAAACCCAACAGAATCAAGTTCACAGCACAGGTATGAAGTGTTCAAGTGGATTAATTAAAAAGAAAAAACACACGGTGAAAAAATTCAAGCCCAGAGCAAATCCCACATTCTCTTCAAGAGGACAAATCCAGGAGCAGAACATGAAGCCCTCAGCTTTAGCTGCACCACAGGGAGCTCCCACATCAGCTGCTCTTTTAAATCCATTTCTCTCTGACACACAACTGCTCAGCTCACGCGTTACTGATTGAGTCCAAGTGCACCATTCTGGGAAACCATGGCAAAGAAAGGAGACAAAGACAGCTGGCAGGTGAGATGCAATCGCGTGAGATCTGAGGGAATGTTGGCAACATTTTCAGAGAGTTAAGATAATGGAGAAGCTCCTGCAAAGCTGAGAGATGCTGCCATGCTGTGCAGCCAGAACAGAACATGGCAGAATTCCAGGAGGACTCCGGGAAATCCTCTCTGCTGAGGAGCAGTCTGAAAGCATGGGCCAGCATGGAGGGACCAACAGATTCAAAGCTTTATTATTTTCTTTTTTAATAAAGTTAACAGTAAAACAAAATCCACAAGCCTTCCCTTCCCCGAGCTGGTTTCCTCTTCACACACAAACGCACACAAACTGAGGTCTCCAACCGAGAGAAATGAAACTGCTCTAAGTACAATGAGACATGATGGAGGAAGGAGTCTAAGTATGTCCGTATTCAAGGCTAAAAGCAGCAGAGCAGGTGTGTGTGTTTTAGCCAAACTGGAAAAAGAAATTCCCAGGCCCAGAAGCTGAAAAAGAAAACGAAAGATGTTAGTTCAAAGACAGTGTGGTTAAATAGCAGTCTGCAACAGCTTGATACCAAGCCAGTAATTAAATAAAGCCACTTGGGCAAGTAGGAGAGATCTGTCCCACGCATTTCCAGCAACTGAATCCCAACAGATAAGAGTGGACCACTGACAACATGGGCAAGGGAGGCTCTGCAGGCAAGCTGACAAGGACGAAAGCAAATTGTACAAGAACCATGCAAGACTTCCCCAGATACACTTAACAAAACCGTTAATGGACACACAGCTCCTTATATGGCATACTAACATTAGGAAAGGAAAGTGCTGAGAGCTTGTGCAGTGCTGCATGAAGCCCGACCACACCTGGGGTTTGAAGGGACTTCAGTAGCAGCATGCTCTTCTCCACCAGCCCACAAAGCTGGGGAACCTCTGCTGCTGGGTGAAGCGATCTGTGCACTTACCACTTCCAAAGCCAGCAGCAGGACACCTCCACCTACCTTCAAAACTGAAGCCTCCCGGCCCACCAAAGAAGGCCTTAAATATATTATTTGCATCGAAGTCTATAGGGAAGAAAAGGAAGTTGTAAGATGAAGTGAAACAGACAGTTACAGTTTTCAGTTTAGAAACTGCCTCTTAATTGAGAGCCCATAAAGCATTTCACAAAAAGCGATGGACAAACAGCTTGCTTTGTCCACTGAAACAGAGCAGCACAGAACACTGAGATACTGTGCTGCAGTGCAACACGGGACACATCAGTGGCAGAAAACAGGTAAAAGCAACATCTATCAGAGCTTAACTCACAGAAGCAAGCTAAGGAGTTTGGATAAGCCACATTTTGGGACCCACAGAATTTGTGTGATGTATTTATATATCCTGTGAAAGACAGAAGCTTCCACGGAGTGGCACCTACTGTCCAACAGCTCAGTCAAGGACAACACGCACCATACAACCCTGATTATCTGCAGCTTTCAAAAGTACCCACCATTCAAATACTCCCACAGACCAAAGTTAACTTATAGGGTTATTACAAAAGGTAGGATACCATAAGAACTACTTACCTCCCATGTTCAACCCATCTTCTTCTAGATCCTGTCCACTGTCATAGCGAGCCTTCTTCTTGGGATCTGACAAGATGGTAAAGGCTTCACCAACCTCCTTAAACTTCTTCTCCTCTTCCTTCTGTACTTCTGCACTCGCCCCACTGTGTCGGTCTAACAATATGAAACCAAGCAGGAAAGAAACTTTATCTTTCTATTGTGAATGGAAAGCTGTAGGCACCCCCAGCTGCTGCAGAAGGCATTTTAGGTGTCCTGCGGTCGCATCTGTCCATGCATTCCCTCTCCCATTTATTCCCAGCTCTGAGTGATGGTTGCGGGTGGCTGTGCATGGGGCAGGAGAACCAAAGCAGCAAGACCTGCTCTGAAAACATCTGGATACCTGGATGATGCATTAGTGCTCTTTTCCTGTAGGCCTTCTTGATCTCATCTTCAGAGGCATTTTTGTCGACCCCAAGGATTTTGTAGTAGTCTTTCCGTTTGCTTTTTTTCAGTTCCATCTGTGCATTCTTTAGAAGTTGTTTGTGTTCTGCAAGGATGTGCCAAAGGAAAGCAGCCTTAGTGCATCACACACAACCCCCTGCTTTAACAGACTGACAGACCAAGTCTTGAGGTGACCCGAACTGCAGTAATTGAGTGCCACAAGTAGCCACAACCCTCTTGCATTTCCACTCAGGCAGCTAATTGAAGTCTAACAGTACACTGAAGGCTTTTCCCAAGTGTAGGTGAACATCTCAATGCTATTGAACCAGTATTTGTCAGACAGGGAACCACAACAACTAAAGCTACTCCATTTCATTTCAGGCTACTAAAAAAGCAAGATGACTATTAAGAATGATAACCATACTCAGCAACAAAAACATCTGCCTTACTTAGAGGAAACACACACAGAACACAGACACATTTACCTTTTGTTTTTTCTGTCTGATAAACTTTTTCATAGTCTCTTACAGCATCTTCATATTGCTCTGTGTCCATGTAACTGTGGGAACAATGATTGCCAAGGTGTACTTCACAGAAAGCATCAAAAAAGGGGCTCAGTCACAAGCTCTCTGGGTAGATGTGAATTACGGGAAATACATGCATTGGGCTGCAGAAAGAACACTCATTAGAGGAACCTGCAAATGGTAACAGCTGCTGGAGGCTGTGGGAAACCTGGCACAGGAACTTCTCTGGGCTCCAAGCTGAGGCTGCCATCTCACTTGGTAACACACGTTCTGCTTTAAAGGCCTTATAATTATCTATCCAACAGCAGGAATTAGTAGCAGCCAGCAACATTTCGAGGAAGCTGGTGCAGAGCTGCACACTGACCTGATCAGGAGTGACAACTTTGGCACCTCAGAGAGGATGCTCCTGCCTGCTGGCGTTTCAGCCCCACTCACATACTGACAACTTACTGTGATTCAGAAATCTCTAGAACTAGCCTTGCTTAAACACAACAGACAGGCAGCCCCAGACACGTGCAGGCAGGACAGACCACATGCTTTCCCATCTCCCCAGCACCATACAAAAGAGGTTTGTACGGACCTCTGAAGACATCACCTTTTATTCATTTAAGCTTCAGATTTGTTGCCCTGTCACCCATTGCTGTGGGGAGGAGGTTCCCATCTACAAACCTGCCCAGCACATCCAAGACAAACACCTACTTACCACTGTGCTCTCCTCAAGTATGCTTTAATATACGTCTCATCCAGTTTTACTGCATTTGTGCAGTCATCTATTGCTTCTTCAAGTTTCCTAAGCTACAATGTCAGACAGAAGTGAATCCCAATCAGAGAAAAACAAAACTGCTAAATAGCGTTAGGATTTTAAGCAAATGAAAGCACAATCTTCTCATTACAACGAAGGAAACAAATAAGGATGCCTTTACACTGATTAAGATAAGGCCACACTACATTCCTTCTCCCCCTCCCACTCTAGGCAGCCCAAGCATTTGAGTTTTGTTTCTTTAGGAGTCAATTTTTTTAGCTGCTTGGAACAGATCCAATTATTGTGCAAGCACAATAACTGGAAATCTTGCTGACAGCACTGGATGGCTCCAGCTGCCCCAGAAGTGCATGCTTTGTAGAATAAGCATCTGCTACTTAACTACGTGCTGAGGAATATGACCTAAGACAAAAGATCACCTGCACGACGACCACTTCTTACCTTTGAATTAACTGTCCCCCGGTTGCAGTAGAGTTTGGCATTTGTTTTTATGTTATTAGGATCTATTCCTAGTGCTTCTGTGTACAGTTCATAAGCTAGTTTGTAGTTTCCTTCTTTAAATGCTTTATTCCCATCTTCCTTCTTTGCTTTAAGTGCTTTGGCATTCTGAAAGACAACACACTCTAGATAAGGACACCAGGTGAGTGGTTCAGAGGTACCAACAACTTATTTTACTGGGTAGGGGTCCCCAACTATAACCATTCTAATTTGCTTTCAGACACCATTACAGGATACAGAAGTCACAGATTAAGGGGCAGAGAAAGGACTACTTCAGCAAAGTGTTCTGTTGAAAGAAGAAAACCCTGGCAGTTTTGTAGTCCCAGCCCCAATCCCCACAACTTACACGGCAGGCTAAACATGCTTTCTCGTGGTCAGGAGCCATTCTGAGTGCCTGGACAAAGAACTGCACTGCCTTCTCAATACAGTCTTCATAATAAAGGCATAGACCACGGACATACAGAGCATCTGCATTTGTTGAGTCCATTCTTAAGATGTCACTGTGATAAACACACAGATTTGCAACAGTTACCCTACAGCACTTTTCCTTTCATCAACAAAAGCATTCTTCTTCTGCTGAGATATTTAGGTGATTCATCAGATCTGTGGTAGGGATATAAAAAAGTGCATGAGGTTGCTCAAGCAAGACTGATGGATATTAAATAAGCTTAAGAAGAGTTTCCCAGTGTGATTAATTGGAAGAAAGATGAATTCATGTAAACTTTTGTCATCATTTGCATTGAGGATTTTTTTTTTTTTTACATCCCCCATTGTTTTAGGCTCTGGAAACAGGCAGTATGCAGCACATACCACTAGTTGGTACGCAATTTCAAGACCTTAAAGATGCTTACCTTGCTACAGACTGTGCTTCTGGGTAACGACCCAGCAGTGCTAAACATTCAGCCTTGAGGATTTTGAATCGGTGGCAAGCAGGAGCAAACTCCAGAGCACGATCCATGCAGAATACAACCTGATGTGGGAAAAGCAAACATCCAAAGGCTTAGTTTGAAACACTGCATCATTACCACACGTAATGTTTGCCTTTCAGCAGGAAGGGAAGTGTGCAGGTTCCCCTTCTCAGCTGAATCCACATTTCATTAAGAGCAGTTTTTGGTGGTGGTTTTCTTTTTTTTTTTTCTTTTTTTTTTTTCTTTGCTCTATTCTAAGAAGGGCTTTATGTTCAAGGGTACGTGGGCCCTGCTGTTACCATGACATAGCACTGGGCAGAAAACTCAAGGAACACCTGTAGTTCAAGCCCATTAACTCCACTGAAATGGCAGGCCCCAAAGAAAAGGCCAAGGAAGACAATTCTGCTCCTGTTTCCTGTGTTACAAAGGAGTGTGGGAGGGACAGAAATTCAATAGACTGAGACAGTTTGGACTGGACAGAACACAAAAAAAGTACAGAGCAGGGACTGATCTTAGACTGGTCTGACTGCAGTGGGCAGGGTGATCTAATGGGTCTTTTTCCATCTCTGCCTCTCTGGTAGGGACATCTGCAGGAGAACAGGGTGATTGTTCCACCAAGTTTCATCTGCTTTCCCGGCCTGTGACATCACGATGGCCTGCTGTGGGAAGCACTGTGCTTCAGACTGAGAAGCCAAAGGCTTCTGGGTGAGAAAGGAGCAAGAACAGCACTGCAGAAACAAAGATCACATTTCATTCAGGTCTTCCCAGCGAAGTGAGACAGCAATAGTGAGGGGATAGATGCAAAAGCCCAGAACAAGCAACACAGGCAGGGTAATTTCTACACATGCAATCCAGACTGACCATGCATCCATTTGCTCCTCGTAACAAGGTGGTGCAAAGCTGGAATTCATGTTTGCAAAACACTGAGCTTAGCTTTAGAGCCAGTGGGCTGAATAGTGAATGTAACACATCAAATAGTCTCCTTTCTACAGACCTTACATGCATCTATGAAACAGTTTCATGAGAAGTGTTAAGTGCCTTTCAGATTTCATGTTGTCACTTCTTGTTGTATGGGGTCAGTAACAGCTACATCCCATTGCAGTCCACAGCAAGAAACATTTGGGAACTGTAACAGAGAGTGCCCAGTGCAGATCTGCATTACTCCTTCACTGACCCTCACTGTGATACTGACAGGAGGAGCCAAGCTAGTAGGAGGCAGAGGGATGAGATGTGCATCTAACTGACCTGGCCAGGTAAGACAGTCTGCTCATGATGCTGCAGGAAGCAATCGAGTTCATCTTACCTTCCTGAAATCTCGTTTCTCAAAATCCGCTTCTGCTATTTTTTCATACTCCAGCACTGTACTGGCATTCTTTAGCTAAAGACAGGAGAACACAGTAAGTGTTTCTTACAGTCATAAGCAAAAACTGCTGCAGACCACAGAACAGATTAGGTCAATATTTTTGCCAGCATTAAAATCAGTTGAAGTCAAGTGACCTCACTGGTAGCCCAGGAAAACATACACTTGTGAATGATATACCAAAGAAGTTGCAGCTTTCTACATGCTGCATCATTCATTTCCATGCTTCCTTACCATCACTCTCCCCTGGAGTGCTGGTGAAAGACCAGCTTAGCCTCCATGCTTTCCTGCCAAGAAGACAATCACACGCAAATAACTGTGCCACTAATTGGTCTACTGAGAAACAGATAAGGAGATCTCAGCACCACCTCATTTCTTTTCATTCTATCAAGGCACACAGATATTGCTAACCAGTTCAATCCATTCCTTTCGACAGCCCCATCTGCAGGGAGCATTTCAGTTTCTTACCTCTTGCTGTGCCTGAGTGTTCTTATGATCCAGTTCTAAAACTCGTTGAAAGCAGCGGCTGGCAGCCATGGCATTCCCAAGGGAGAGATGGCACTTCCCTTCCCGTAGATGGCCCTGAGAAGACCATTAAAAGGCAGCTGCAGGAGCAGACAAGTATTCAGACATATAAGAAATAAGATGATTTCCACATACCCTTACGAAGCTGTCATCCAATCTGACAGACTGCTGAGCATCTCCCAGTGCTTCTCGGAATCTTCCCAGCATCATGAGGGTGGCAGCTCTGTTACCATAATAACTGGCATTGTTGGGACAGGTATCTGGGGGAAATGGAAGAGCACTTGCTGTTAGTGTAATGTAAGCAGCTATACAACTTGTAGAACATACTCAAAAGACGTTGTGGGATTCAGAAGAACCACATTCCTTCCCAATTTATAACGTCACCCAAACGGCTTACAAAGATGCACGATGGTTCTGAATAGAAGCCATAAAACCAGTGCTTCTCACACTACACACAGGCTTTAAGTCACACAGAAGAGAAGTCTGCACCATTTAGCCTGACAGCACTGCTGACCCTGCATTAGATGGAAAACTGAATTGGTTTCTTGCTAAAAATATCTTGGATGGAAGAGAAATAAAAAACTGCTGCAAATCACCCACGTTAGCACTGACTTGCATAATCAATCCAGGGAAATTTTGCAAAGTAATTAATCCAACAGAAAGTTTTCATTCAGTCTGTGCTGTTAGAAACCCTGCTGGTATATCTTAAAATCAATAACTGGTTTTGATTTTTAGCCATTGTATTCAACAGAGATTATCCTCATCACCAACCACTCTCACCTATGGCTTTTGTGTAATAGTTGTACGCTTCGTTGTAATCCTTCTTGGCGTAGTATGCGTTCCCTTGTTCCTTGAAAGACTCTGCTTCTCTGAAGGAAGAGAAACAAGGAGGAGCATCAGCACACATTCTGACCACAACCAAGTCTGTGATCCCCGAGCAGTCTCAGCATTGCCTGCAGTGTTACAAACACCCACAGCTGATTGCTGCAGGACTGACCCTGCTTATTGCTCATGAGGAAAGAGCACAGTGTTGGTCTGGCTCTCAGCTCAGCACCCGAAGAGGGCCACCAACATGGAAATGGCCATCTTGGCTGACCAGCACAGAGCACAGCAGTGAACACACCTGTGAGCAGCGTTCTGTCTCAGACACAGCTGCCTCTGGAGCCGAGCACCTCCAGTATACACAGCTACCCAACAGCCTGCTCCATCAGTGCTGCACAGCCTCAGCACCAAAGAATTAAAGAAACTGAGTGCTGACTTTCAGAAGCAGTCCCACATATCTGAGAAATGGGGCCAAGAACAAGTTCTGTGCTCACAAGAACTAAATCAAGGAGGAATACGGGTGCTTCTCCTTGAGGCTTGCGTGGCACTGCCTTGGCAACAGGTCCAGAAATAGTCCTCACACTCAAGAGCGAGCATTTGCAGAGACAATTTAGGACATTAAAAACATACAACATATGGTTTAAAGCTGCATCCTTTAAACTCTTGAAAGCAAAGTTTCCCCTAATGGAAATTAAACCCTTCCCCACCTCCTCTTGTCTACCTTCATCATTTTATATAAGCAGCCCAAGAGGGAACTTGCACCACAGTGCTGTGAAGTTGAATTCAGTTTTGATGAATTCGGCGATATCGCTCACTTGCATCTCCTCAGCCAACTCCAAAGCAGCACTGCCCTCACTAAGACACAGCATTAATACCTGCATCACACTTTTGAGCCTGCAGATACTGCCTGCCCACTGCCCAAAGCACGTGTACAACCAGAACTTCTGAACTAAGGCTAATGGACTCCATCCTCAGCATCCCTCCCAGGACACAACCAGCACATCCCCGGGCTCCAACAGCTAGGGTTCTTCTACCAGAGCAGCCCAGCCCCAGAGATCACCTGCACAGGGGAAACAAATACATCACGGGAAGAGCAGTTGAAGTTGACCATCACAGATCACCTCGCTCCTCACTGACTGCCAGCTGCTCTGAATGAAGCCTTTGCTCTGATGGAGCAGAGGCCAAGGAGCCTGAAGTAGCTGTGAGAGCCCTGCCAGGGCACAGCTCCACTTGCAGGCACAGACACAGGTTGCTTCCAGGCTGGGCTGGAATGCCAAGATTCAGCTTGCGTTTTCTTGCAAGAAGGGCCCAGAAGCAAAGGTGCCTTCACATCACTTACTGCAGCAAAGCTATTTACAGGAAATCCAGCAGACACAACCAAACCAGAGCAGAGAAACGTGAGGACAGAGAGTCGCGTGGTTTTTACACCCAGCTTCCCCATACAAATTCAGAACAACGCTGGCGCATCAATGGACCCCAAGGCTGAGCAGCTTTTGTTCTGCACAAGGTTATCAATACTGGCACTGCACTGGTACAAAGCTGCCAGCCTGCACCCCTCCCAAGGACAGACCCACACCAGGGCCTGAGCAGCTCCCCAGCCTACCAGGGAGAGAACAAAGGGAAATGTGTTGAAACCAGTTAACATGTTTGTAACCTCATTCCGGCCTGCCATTGGCCATTCCCACACAACTGCCTCATGCAAAGGGTTGTTTGCACAGAAGAGCCACAGTTGTGCCAGCTGGCAGGACAATAGACACAGGGTGCTGCTGCTCCAGGGCCTCCGGGCCGCAGTGAGAAATGGAAGCGCACAGCACATACTTGAAGTTCTGCTGTCAGCTGCACTCAGTGGAGCAGACGCAGCCCTACTGCAGCTCTGCAGAAGTCAAGCAGTGGAAGTGGAACTCTGTGCGCTGGCACACTGACACACAGCAGGACGAGCCAGCAGGAGGGTGGAGGAGCAGCGGGGGGCTCAGCGTGGGGTTCAGCAGCACCCAATGCCCACCCCGTGCACCATGAACTTGTCCAGCCGAGGCAGGCGCTGGCCCTGCTCCCATGGCTGCAGCAGGAAGGTGCTCACTCAGCAGCCCTGCTCTCCCAGAAGCTGACATGTGCTCGGTGCTGCTGCCAGCACAGCTCTGGGCTCCTCTGCCACGAGGGCTGGCAGCAGTTCTGTGCTTGCTGGGTGGATTTGTGTCGCTGGTGGTGGGACCCAGGCTTTGTAGGACTACAAATGGGCCCCAGCACGGCCTTTTCTGTTACAAATCACATGTTCATAAGGCAGTGGAAGAGAACAGTTTGCAATTTGGCACTACCTTGGCAGCAAGCAGCTTAAACAGAACTGTATCCTAATTTCTGTAACAACAAATGGAGAAGAAAATCCCAGATCTCGTGTAAGCTTCAGAAGCTCTTTGTTGTACAGCCTGAAGAAAGGATGAATGGCACTAATGGAGAACTCACCCTGAGCTGCTCCAGCAGCACACAGCCACCCTGTGTCCCTCAGCAGCATCACCTGCCATCATCACACTGCCCTCAGACACAGCAACAGGTCTGGCTGCTGGAGCTCCGTTGGCCAACGCTACTGGGAAGTGCTGGGGAGCGGAAGGAGGAACGCAGATGCATAGCAAAGCAACCTCCACAAAGCACAGAACTGTGAGATGTGAGAGCAAAGGTGTGAACACAGGAATTACTCATCTCTACTCTTTTCTTGGTCTGTTTCCCTTGTAAGCCTTTAGCATAACACAGAGCCATACTCCAGCAGGTCACAGTGCCTCAGCTAATGGGGCAGAAAGGAGAAACACACATGGATTTCTATTGCCTACACTGCTTAAAGCCTAACGATGGAAAAAAGATCACGAAAGGAAACCCAAGATCTCCTCCAAAGCACAAAGGCAAAGCCAGCTGCTGGAAACGCAAGGCTTGTGGCCTCGGGTCCCAGACACAGAACAGAAGCATCTCTCCCCAGTTGTGCTCCATTGACACAGAAAGCACACTGAGCAAACAGCCCTTGTTTACCACGGTCTCTGGCTATAACAAGAAGAAATGCAGATCTCCTGATATCACTGGTAATTGTTTCAATCCAAACAGATGCTGCAGCCTGAATGAGATCATTCTGCATCTCGCACTGATGTAGGCTGCATTCCCCACTTGCTACTTTTGAAGCTGAAGAAGAATCATGCTTTGCTAAAAATATGATGCAGGCTGAATGGAGTGCTTTGTTCCCAGTGGGCAGAGCCTCCTCAGGGCCTCTGCAGCCGACACAGAAGACAGGGAAGAGTCACACCAGGATCTCGGGAAGAAGCTCATCTTTCATTGCGTGCAGCCAAGGCGCACGAGGAGGGGCTGTTTGCTGTAACTCTCCCTACCAGCTAGTCACCTTCTTTCCCCTTTCGTACCACTCGTCACAGCCTCTAATCCTTCCCCTGTCCTGCTGAAGACCCGCCACACGCAGGCAGCAGCCTCACACTCCTGATGCAGCAGCAGCACCCTCCTGCCGTCCCAAGGCTCCCTGCTCACCGTGCCCTGCTGACAGCTCAGCCCTGCTCTCTCTGCAGGCAGCAGAGCTGTGAGGCACAACCATCCCATCCCATAGCACAATCCCACGGCTGCTAACAGCTCCTGCCTCCTCCCCAGCACTGGCAGCCCCCACGAACCAATTGCAGGCTCCCCTCCTGCTGCAGCTTGCAGCAAGGAACACACAGACCTGCCTTCCAGCACAGCTCACCTTCCCAAGCCATCAGGACCTGAGCAGGGAGCAGCTCGCAGGTCTGGCAGTGCTGGCACAGCCCTGCTCCAATGCTGTGCACACAGGTAGGTGCCTGCAGAGCTGTGCTCTCAGAGCTCAGACACACAGCACGTAGCAGCATTACGACTGCTCAGCTCAGGAACACCTCTCCTACTTCATCTCCTGCCTCCATTACAACACACTGACAAAAAAAAAAAAAATACATGGGATTTAAGGGATGCTCTGAAATCCCAACCAGAAAACATGAGTACCTCGTGGTCACCAGGGCAGTCTGAAACCACAAAATCTAAGGGAAATGGGAAGTTTAACTGGGCCAGCTGCCTACAAGGCGTCCAGAGCCTCACCAACCCATCAGCCCCGTCTCCTTGGGGATGCCCAAACCCAAAGAGCACAGCTGGCTTCTCTGGGCAACTCTAGCAGAGACTTTTCCTTAATAGCACATGGTGCCTCCAGCCCACAGTTCCCCTGTTGGATTCCAGACGAGATTCTCAGCTGTCAGATGTTACTCAGCTGCTTGGGTAAAATAAGTTGGGTGATCTCAATACAGCTTACGTTGGGCAGATGTCTAGAGCTTAAAATTAGCTGCTGTGTTTCCCACTGGACATACTGCAGCCTTCCCTCCTTTCAGGGCTCAGAACTGAAGCCAGGCAATGAGCACACACTTCTTCCAGGCTGGGCTGTACTTTGTGACTGAGGAGCTCAAGCGAAGGGAACACATATCTATCCTACTCCAAATCTGACACGAAAGAAGAGTGCAGGTGCAATACCAGATCCGCAGGTACAAAACACAGAGTCACAGAAGACAAACCACGACCACCCTCAGGAGATGTTCTCACACTGACCCTGTGGCAGCAGCGACCAAAAGGGAAGCAGAGCAGAACAGCACTCCATGCACACATTGCTCTGCACATCAGCACCCCCCACTGAGCAAGCAGTGAGTTTGCTCCCAGCTGCAATGCAGCAGTGAGAACGAAGACATTTACATGCAGAATGATTTAGAACCAGAGAAATCTCAAGCCTGTACACACAGACATGTGCTTGGATAGTCTCACCAACTGAAGGGCTGCCTTGGGACCCAAGTCTTTTGGGAGAGCAGTCAACAGAAAAATCACAGACATTTAGTCCACAGGGTGTACAGACAGATGCATACTGTCCTCTACATACAGCCCAGAGCACACCCAAGACCTGAGGACAAACTCAGCCACAGCAGAGAACAGGAGCACAGGAAGGAGCCAATGCCCCCTGCAGCACCCAGTGTAAACAGCCAGATGAGCCCTGGGCGTTAATTACGCAGTTATGTAATGCACCTTGCTAGCAGAGCTCACTATTAACCCACTGCATACCAACAGCACCACTGCTGATGGCAGGGCTGAGTCTCAGCATTTGAGAGAGCCCACAGAAGGCCCAGGATCACCTGGAGCACTGGCTTCCATGAAGGCCTGGATGCAGGAAACAGCCCACCTGCACGGAAAGACAACAACGCTCACGTGAGTCACCTTAAAAAAGATGATCCTGAGTTCAAAACAGGCTTCAGTTCCAAGCACTGAACCCCTTTTTCATGTTGTACAGAAATTATCTCAGTCAGAGTATTCAAATGCTCTGCAAATGTATGGGAGATTAAACATCGACATGAGGAGCTTCTGCCATTCCTCATATTACCCTAAGATGACAATTACACAAAACAGGCTGGATCCACAGCCTGGGAAACTCCAGTGCCCAGTGAGGAACAGAGCAGGAATCCTGGAACAGCCCATACCCACAACCAGAGCCCTACAGCCAACCAACCCCAGGGCCTGGCAGCACTCCCTGCAGAGGCGGCCCAGGACGTTTATGATTACTGGAGCAGCCGACTGGGATGCAGCTAATTTCATGTAAAGCAGCAGCAGAAGGAGCCTTCTTGATCATCCACACCTGACAGCCTCCAAGCAACATCTGTCGGACTCATCATGACCCGAATTAAGGCCAGGTCTGGAACCTCCTCTTTGATTTCTGCACAATTTACTTTGCGTGGCAAATTTCACACTCATTGTTTTATTGAGGTTAATGACGATTTCCTGCAGAGGCATCAACACATCTGAATTCTGCGGCAGAAGCACCGTGAAAGCAGCACTCCGTCCAGATCATTTCACAATATTTTCCAAATGATTTGAGATACCTCCCAGAAGAGGCTGTCACATCCTCCAGCGCTGAAGAACACGGAGAAGGATCCAGCCCTGAGCAGCCACAGTGACAGAACACAGGGCTGCCAGGAGGACGACAAAGAAACGGCCCCCAGCAGCTCCTGGATCAGCCGGGCCAAGAGAGGGACGGATCCCAGGGGTCAGAAACCTTTACCATTTAGGAAAAAAAGGAAGTGACTTAGGGGGATGGATCTCTCCCTGCCTGCAGCGCAGCCCCCACCCAGCAGATAAAATTAATGCACTTACATCAACCCTCCTCCGTCAGGACCCTCACAATTCATGCTGCCACAGCCAATAATTATCCTATGACCACACTCTATTCCTGTCCCTTAAGCCACCGGTGAGCGAGCAGTTCGGCATGTTTACAGCTGTTCAGAAATCCTGAGCTCCACTATTACCACTTTTATTTTTATTAAGCCGCAGAGAACAGAATTGCACATTTAGTTTCTTTGCTCACGGGCTAACCCTTGTCTATCTGTGCTGCAACTCCTAAAGGGAGGTACAGAACTCAGGAGGCTCGGGGCTGACTTACAGCAGCAGTTCAGTACAGCTTTTCATTTATTTTCGCTGCTTTCTAACAGAATCTGGCCCAGTCGCATCATAAAGGCCACGTTAAATCAGGTTCCAGAGAACGCCTGTGCAATTAATGCCAAGTGCCTGCAGAGCCCTTGCGTGGTTCCTGATGTTTTACAAACATTAAGCACCTAATTAAGCCTCCAGCCATCCTCCCTAATTTGGTGACTATCATCCTAATTTGCATTAGATCATTGAGAGATAGAACTTGAGCAACCACTGTAAGCCCTGAGGGCCGCTCAGAGCAGAGATGCCATCCCCAGGACCCTGCCCTGTTCCTCTGGTGCACACAGAACATCACCTCCTGCTCCCGCACTTCCCTTTGAATTCCCAGCAACAGAACAGTGCGAAAGCACCATAAAAACCCAGGATTACACAGCAGTGCCCACGAGCTGCAGCACCGGCCTCATCACGCCAGGAAGCGCCGGGTGACCCAGGCTGGCTCTGCTCCTCATGGTTGAACCCCTGAGAGCGGGGCAGGGACCAAACCCCCACCCCAGGGCTGCTCCCTGCACCCAGCAAAACGCGGGAAGGAGGAAGGAAGGGTAATTAAAGTCAGAGCCTCCAGCACGGCTCTTACATTTGGGTATTTTTAACATTTCGGTTGTCATCTCTAACCAGCCCCAGGGAATGAATCACACCAGCAGGCTTCCCCAGCTCCACGGGCAGCGCTGCACACACAGCACACAGTGCCTCCTCAGCAGCTCTTGGTTCCGCTCCTCAGTGACATCACCAGGAAGCTCTCCGTCCCAGCACCGCTCCCGGGCCATCATTCCGACAGCACATCGCAGCACGAAGCACCGCAGGCTCACTCTGAGAACCGCACTCCTCAGAGGGCGCTTTCGGTTTTGTTTTTCCCGATGCTTCCACCGACCAAAGAACAGCCGGGAGCGGCCGCCTCCCCTCCCGCAGCAGCGGCTCCTGGGAGGTGACGAACGTCCACATCCACGTCCACATCCACACCGCAGCGCGCAGCTGCCAGACGCTCCCCATCGCATCAGCACGCGGCGCAGCGCCGGCAGCACCGGGCCCTGCGGGAAGCGCTCGGCGCGGGGATCCCCGCAGCCCGGCGGGCCGAGGCAGGGCGCTCCAAAACACAGCGCGACCACAGCGCGCTACGGGAGTTACGTGGGGACGCTGTTTAACGGCCTCACCGCGACCCCCCCGCACCCAGCGCTGCCGCCCCGCGCGTCGGAACCCGCGGCGGGCGGGGAGGGCAGACGGAGCGCCGCGAGCCGGGCCCGAAGCCGCCCCTCCGCTTCTCCTCGTCCCCGGCGACGGGGCGCGGCGCTCCGGGCGCCACCCGGCCCCGGACGCCCGGCTCCGCTCCGCGGAGGGCAGCGACCGCCGCTCCCTCGCAGGGGGGCGCGGAGCGAACGCGGCGCGGCGGACGCGCGGCCGGGGCGGGGCCGGCGGAGCCCGGCGCGGAGCCGCGGAGCCGCAGCCCCGCGGGGCCCAGCAGGGCCGGCCCGGCCGCAGCGCCCGCCGCCCACGGAGCGCGTCCCGCTGTGCCCGCGCGCCCCAACGCGGCGGGGCGCGGAGGACGGGGGCGAGCGGACGGCCCGGCCCGGAGAGGCCGCACCGAGACCCCGCGGCCGCCGCTCCTCCCGCCCCGCGCTACCTGCGCGCCTCCTCCTCGCTCTCGGGCTCGCCGGGTCCCTCGGGCGCCGCCATGATCACATCGCACTCGGCTGCCGCCGCCATCTTACCGCCAGGCCGGGTGGGGGCGGGGCGGGGCGGGGCGCGCGGGCGCCGGAAGGGGCGGGGCTTCCCGGGACGGCGGCGCGGGCTGCCGGGAGCGGGGCGGGGCCGGATGCCGCGAGGTGCCGCGTTCCGCCGCCGGGGGGCGCCGTGGCGCCGCGCCCCTTCCGCCGCCGCGCAGCTGGGAGCCGCGTCCCCCGACGGAGCCCCGCGCGGTGCCGCCCCGGCGCCGTTCGTCGGGCGGATCCCCCGCGTGCGGCTCCGGAGCGGCGCGGAGGCGGCATGGGGAAGAGCTGCAAGGTGGTGGTGTGCGGGCAGGCCGCGGTGGGCAAAACCGCCATCCTGGAGCAGCTGCTCTACGGAAACCACGTGGTCGGTGCGTGCCGGGCCGGGCGCGGGGCCGTGCGGTTCCGGGCCCCCCCGTCACCCCGCTGCCCGCCCCGCAGGCTCCGAGATGATCGAGACCCAGGAGGACATCTACGTGGGCTCCATCGAGACGGACCGCGGCGTGCGCGAGCAGGTCCGCTTCTACGACACGCGGGGGCTGCGGGACGGCCTGGAGCTGCCCAAGCACTGCTTCTCCTGCACCGACGGCTACGTGCTGGTGTACAGCACCGACAGCAAGGAGTCCTTCAAACGGGTGGAGCTCCTCAAGAAGGAGATCGACAAATGCAAAGACAAGAAGGAGGTGAGCGCTGCCGCGGTCCGTCGGCGGGGACGCGGAGTGCCGCTGCCGGCCGTCAGGGGCCGCCGTGCGGGGCGGTTCTCTGCTCTGATTCCGCGGCTGCTGGGCGGAAGGGCCGTGTAAGCGGTTCTGTGCGTTTTGCTGTTGGCGAGAACAGCGATCTGCGGCTTTGGTTGCTCCATAAGGGGCTGTTGGTCGTATTGGCGTTGACTGAGATCTCGGCTGCCCGGGTGGGACTTTTCCTGCAGGGCTCTGCAGTGCTGCATGCACAGCTGCTCGGTGGACCCTTCCAGTTTGGGGCTGGTTTGAAACAAACCCAAGCAGAAGGGTGAGACTGCCCAAAGAGAGGTGTTCTGAAAGGGGGAATTATGTACGGGCATAATTGGCACTGAAGGCGTTGCCAAAGCAGCACTGCTCAGCTCTGCTTTCGTTACCAACTGGGGTTTTTTCTCCCCCGTATTCGAACAGGTCACTATTGTGGTTCTGGGCAATAAATGTGACCTGCAGGAGCAGCGCCGGGTGGACCACGACGCAGCCCAGCATTGGGCCAAGGGTGAGAAGGTGAAGCTGTGGGAAGTGTCTGTGGCTGACCGGCGTACATTGATTGAGCCCTTCATCTACCTGGCCAGTAAGATGACGCAGCCACAAAGCAAGTCTGCTTTTCCCCTGAGCCGCAAGAACAAGGGCAGCGGGTCTGTGGATGGCTGAGCCTCGTCTTGCTCTTCCGATGCCACCTCCTGTCCCTCACCTCTCTCCTTCCCTTGCACGCACCTCCTGCTGAGCCTCTTTGGTGCTATGGAGCCTGCAGGAAGCCTGGTGGCATGAGGAGTGGGCTTCCCAGGGCTGGGGATGCTCTTTGAGGAGGAGAGAGGTGACCCATCTCCCATCTCCAACACAAGAGCTGTTTCCACTGCCCAGGCCCTGCCAATGTTTAAGGCGCTACAGGGAAGCCAGGATTCACCAAGTGCACCCCTCTGCTCTCAGGGCACAGGCTGACACCTGGGGGCTTCATGCTGCCCCTGAGGAGGCCCAGCAGCCTGGGATCAGCTTCACATCTGAGCACAGCCAGGCCGTAGGAAAGGATTTCCCCCTCTCAAGAGCTGCTGTCTTTTGTACTGGTCCAACATGAGAAGAACCCGTTTGAGGGCTGTGCCTCCCCAGTCTCCTTGTCTGACCCCAGCGGGCTCTGTGGTGCTGCAGCTTTGTCTCAGCAGGTTGCTCCTTACCTGGCCGTGTCCTCTGCACCCCGACATGCAGGAATATTCAGTCCTTGGCCAAGCTGCATGCAGGTGAGCCTCCTGCCCCAGGAAACGCACAGTGCGGAGCGGGGCAAGGTGCTGTTCCTGAGGGCAGGCTCAGGCCCCGCATCTCACAGTGCACAGCACACTGCAGTGCTCTTTTGCTGAGGGCAGACCCAGTCCTGACCCCGGAGGTGTGGGGCTGTGCTCAGCCCGTGCACACACAGGGCAGCTCTCACCACCCCACGGTTGTGATGCCTCAGAACCACCATGAGACAAAAGGATGCTGTCCCAGTCCTGCCCAGCAACACTTTTCTCCCTTTGGCAAGTCTGGATCTAGGAAAAAAAAAAATGATGAGAAAGCCCTGGCTTGTTTATACTTGTTCCTTTTATTTACTGAGTAACACAATAAAGCGATGAGATTCAATTATCAAAATATTTTCCTTTTTTTTTTTCCCCAACAGTTATAGTACATCAAAAATATACAATGAACATTACAGGAGGGGTACTGGCCAAGTCCCTAGAGTCTGTTATTCCATTTTTCTGTGTTCTTTTTTGTTGGTTTTTTTTTTTTTTTTTTTGGAATCAAACTGTTCACATCACTCCAAGGTTATTTACAGAGGGGCACGCCTTACTGAGCGCTATGGACTATGCCCTACTATCTAGCACAGCATATGCTAAGTCAAAGGCAGAAATGCTTTGGATTGCATGGGAGCAGGGAGGGGTCTCTGGAGGCAAAGGGATGCGATAGAGGCAGGATGTTCTTATGCAGCTCATTGCAGTATTATTGTTATTAAAAGGAATGGCTTTCAAGGGTTAAAGTGCCAAGTGTAGGAGTGTATCAGGACTCCACTGGTGGAGAGGTGACAGGAGCAGCCACTGCTGGCTCCAGCACAGGCTTTTTAAAACAAAATGCAGGGGAAACAACCCAGTGGTGCCACAGCTGCCCTCTGCTGCAGCCAGAGCTGAGAGGAGGCCTGGAGAAGAGCACAGTGAGACGGGTACGGTGAGGCCTGGGTGGCTGCAGGCTGCTTGGCACTGAGATGCTGTCAGAGCCACATCCTCCTGCTGCCTGTGGGCCCCAGCCAGCCCCCGTCCTCACCTGGGAGATGTGGGGTCGTCTCCTGGTCTGGGCCACACGTGTCCCCCAGGCTGGTGGGCACCACTCCATGTCCCTGCTGAGGCCACTGCTGCAGTAGCCTTCTACCCTCAGCTGCTCTCTTAAGCAGGTCTCCCCACCACCTCAGGACCTCGTGTCTACTCTGATCTTTCCATACACGATCCCCCCTCCCTTGGTGCCCTCTCTCCCCTTCCCTCCCTGAGGTAGAGGGAGACGCCCTGAGCAGATAAATCCATACCCACATGCTTGTTTGTACTCTCCTTCACGGAAAGCACAGCAGCAGCTCTCCCTGGGTCAGCACTGCCCACGGTGTGAGCAGAGAGCCCTCTGGATGTGGGAGCTGAGCTCTGTGCCAGCAGGACCCACGGCTGCTCCCTCCATGCAGCAGTCCCTGCTGCCACCCGAGGTTCCCAGCTCTGGGAACAGAAGCATTAGGTGGCAGCAGGTCCCTGTACACCTCCAGGACCTCATCCTGAGCATCGGTGGTGCACACTGGGCAAAATCCTCCTGAAATCCACGTGTTGCTTATGGCCGAGATGTCAGATTGTGCGTGTGGATTCCCAGATGTGCAAAACCACCTCATCCCAAGGGCTGGGCAAGAACACAGCCTCGTGCCAGGATGCTGCAGAGGTCTCTGTGCCAGCACCCGGCCTGGGGACGGGAGGGGACAGCATGGCAGAGGAACCACCTGCACAGAGCTGAGTGTTGCTTTGTGTCCTTTCTGCTCCAAACAACACCCCCAGCCCTACAGACTGAGCACCAAAAACGTAGACAGCAAACAACGAGCCAGCTGCTCCCGTGGGATTGCATAGATCGGGGTGGGTTGTCACTCCAGCATGAGGTCCATTTGGGTTGCGACTTTCCTGCAGGTTTGTATTTACAGCAGCACTGGGAATGCAGAGAGCTGCAGGTACAGTTTTCAGATCAGGTCCTCGCTGGGCCTTCTGAGCACAGTGAAAAGAGAGCATCTGAGGGAGGCTGGCAGTGCCTGCTCCTTCCTCCCTGATTGTCTGGGCTGCCAGGACGCCTTCGCTTGGCAGAGTCACAAACTCCTTGGAAGCTCCTAATGGGGATGGGGTGGACGGCGAGCAACGACAGCGCCCTTCTCTGGAGAACCAAAAGTGCTTTGGGGACATTCAGGGAGCCTCACAGCACCTCCCCTGAGGTAGGGGCAGGATTGTCCCCCCGGGGGGAGGACTGAAGCGAACAGCCGGCACCAAGCAGGGCTCAGAGCACAGTGTCCCCTCCTTCCCACCTCAGGGAGCGCAAACCAGATGGGAGCAGAGCCTGTGCCCAAATTCTGTGCTTCTCGGGATGCCTGGGAGAAAGGCTGTGTGCTTTCAGAGGGCAGAGGAGCGAGTGCCAGGCTTTGCCTATTGCTCTCGGAGTGAGGATGTGACCACCATGGCCGATGGCTCTTTGGCGTGGGACTGATGAGACCAGCGAGGACCAGGGCTGCTCCACCCTTGGAGGACCAGCC